TCCCAATCCTTAGATTTCATTCACCGTTGCCACCATTTTGGACCGTGATTGACTCGATCGAGCTTAGAGACCTGGCCAAGAGTGCTCCGTGCCATGTTGATGGAAAGAGCCGACTTCAATCTGACAATACGTTTGGAAAATGTGATGTGGGATGCTAATGATAAAATTGATGAGTTTCTTATCCTGATTCCAGGGATTGGATGTTCAGGATTGAGATCAAACTATCCTTACAAGTTCAAGGATTTGAAAAAAACATCACTCAAATTTTCAAAGATAATATGTGCATTGGGCGTGCACGCCTACTAGTACCAGTAGGTAGAAAGTGTTAGTCTAAACCGGAGTTCATATGCTCCTTTCATGAACAGTGAAATTTCAAACATTCTGATAAAAATCAGAAATTTGTTGGCAACAACGATTACTTAGTGGTCTATCCATGTGAAAATTTTCACGAAGGAATGACTTAATGGTGGCATAGACAAAAAAGTTGCTCAAAAATGCTTCCAAAAATGACCTTATTGGAGAATCAAAACGTTTTGCTCATATGAATGTTTTTTTCCTCATGAAACTTTTTACGCGGATGAAACACTCAACAATATTTTTTTTTGGAAAACTTTCGATCTATTCATCTTCAATAATGCTATTACAACAAACACTAGAAATAATAAAAATTAGATCCAGATCCGTAGACCATCTAGCGACGACTACAAACACTGAATCGAGCCGAAGGCGCGCCACTGTCATCATCCCTCCATCCCCGGAGTCGGGCGCACATTATTGTAGTAGACAGTCGGGAAGTCGTCGTGCTAAGGCCTCATAGAACCAATGCACCAGAACAACAACCGCCGTCGATGAAGAGTGTAGATCAAAATGATTCAACCTGAAGACATAAGAACATAGACGAAAGATGAACATATCCAAGCAAATCCACCAAAGAAAGATCCATCGGAGACACAACTCCACACGCCCGACGATGCTAGACACATCAACGGGGCAGAGATTAAACGGGGGAGACATTTATTTCATCTTCAGGGAGCCATCACTGTCTCGCCTTCCTGAGCAGGACACAAACCCTAACAAAAATCGAAAAAAGATCTAAAAACGGAGTCCTCCCACCGGCAAGGGCCGGGATCCACTCCGCCCCCGTGGCCCTAAGGCCACAGGAGACAGGATGGACCGGCGTCGGCGTTGGCGGGAGGCAGAGGAACCCTAGCTTTTTAGAGAGGCGGCAGCTGGCTAGGTTGTCTTGCCAACCCTAACACTCAAGAATATTTGTTGCAAAATTATTTCAGATTTGTATTACTATTTTTTTTCTCTCTCAGTTTTACTGTTCATCTAGGTGCATCGGCACCCGGTAGCAGAAGACGATTCCACAAACATATGGGTAGATGGGCGGATGGTCAGCCTACACAGCCTGTGACGATATTCTTGCATAACAAAAAACTTGGTATGTCCGCCCAAATTTTGCGATGGAGATAATATTATTATTATTTTACGAGAAAGGTAACATATTTTTAAGAGAGAATCGGTCGTCTGTTCACTAAAGAAACTAGAGGTACGGCATAGTTCGTGCTACCCGGCTGGCTTGCAACTTGCAATCTACATTGTGCAACGCATGATGGATCCTAGTCCTAGCATTGACCTTCTGCCGCGGACGGCGTGGGAGGAGCATCGACAAAAAAAAACTATATAAAACCGAGGTTTGACATACTGTTTTAACACAGTACATACGCAAGCGCTTATATACACACACATACACTCATCCCTATGGACGTACACATGCACACCCTACCCCTATAAGCACCTCCGAAAGACTGAGCCGGTATATCATCTTAAAATTTACGAAGTTACCATAGGCACCTCGCCGTCAACGGGAACGTCTCCTCTCATTAAATGCACATCGCCGGAAATCCTGACATAAATTCAGAAATAAATGCGAGCTTCAGGACTTGAACCTGATGGGCTGAGGATACCATAGTCCCTCTAACCATCCAACCACAGATTGGTTCACGAGGTTTGACATACTGAAACATTGGGAAAATGCCCCTTGTTTAACTATTTGTAAATATTAGCTTATCTTCTAAAGAATTTCTGGTCTTATTCAAGTTACTGGATTATAATTGTCTGATTACTTTAACG